GGCCTCGGGCTGCAGGGGAGGAAGGGGCTGCAGAGCTCCCGTGTGGACCCCGCCCGCCGCCCGTCTACACGGCAGGCTCAGTGCCGTGGCCTTCCCAGTCTGGACGAGGGGACGTGCTAAATCCCAGTGTCATCAGAACAGGTTATCCGGCAGCAGGTGCAACTGACCAAATGCACTCAGGGTTCCTACTCCCCGACCCCATCGCAGCCAAATAAGCGATGCCGATGCTGCCTCCTACCCTTTACCTCCAGCGGGTCAGCTCACCGGGCAAGCAGGCCAGTTTCCCTAGTCACGGCTTGGAAGTGTCCTGCCCGAGCTCATGGGCTCGCTGTCCAGCGGCCTCCACGTCTCCACCCGCCTCCTCGCAGGCGTGGGCTCTCCTGAGCCGGCCTGGGCCCTGGGCTGCTGCCCCCGTGGAGCAGTGGGCAGGAGGCCCGCCCCCCGCTGACATCTCCCGGGAGACAGACATGCAGACAAGTTCACGTGACGCTGACTTCCAGGTGAGTGAGGCCCTGCACGGGGACAGCGCCCCCCCCCGATGCCGATGCCTGGCCCGTCTGCTGAATGAACCTCACGCCACGGGACTGAGGTACCTACGTGGGCCTTGTGGGAAGGGTGCGAGGGGGACAGCGGCTGGTCCGAGGGAGAGCGCTGAAGAGAAACGTCCAGGGAGTGGGACGAGGGCTGCTCCAGAGGGACGGGCTCTGCACGCTGGTTTTCTGTCACACTGTCGTCCTGAGGTGGTGGCAGTGCTGGCGGCAGGTGGCAGGAACTGCTGGAGTGAACGAGGGGCTGGAGCGGTAAATCCATCGGCCTTGGCACCTGGGGAGAAGGGACGCGTGATCCCCAGGCCACCACCCCGGCCCGCACCTTCCCCGGAGCACCCGCCTCAGGAGGCAGAGCCATCGCCACCCTCACTGACCGCAGGTCACTGTGTGGGACACACAGTGGATCTGTGTCATCACGAGCACGTGGGTGAGTCACTAGCGTGGAGGCACACCTCATGGTTGTGCCAGCGGAGAGGCACATGGGCACCTGGTGGCCCCGAGGACCGCAGCCAGCCGGGCACTGCTCACTACCCCACGTCGTCCTAACAAGTGCGAGGCACTGGGCGGGGTGGTCAGTGCTTCAGACAGATTAGCTCATTCAGTGCCCACCACTGCCCCCTGGCAAATGTGACGGGGAAACCGAGGCACAGGTGGAGCAGGGGTTAGTCTGATCACACAACTAGAGCGGCACAGTGGGGTCTGGACCCCAGCAGGGTCTCCCGTCTGCACTCAGCCTCCGTCTCCTCATCTGCGGCGGGCGCACTCCTGCCCAAGTGGGTCTGAGGATGGGGCAGCGCCTCCGGGGAGGTGTTCTCAGCAGCGGAGGCCCCTGGGGTTTCTTTCCCACGGCTCCCGGGAGCGGGCAACTCCTTCTCACCAACGAGGAACACTGGGGAGCAAGTGCCCCCCCAGCTCCGCCCCTTCCTGCTCTACTGTGAGGCCTGCCAGAGCCGGGCGGGCGAGGCGGAAGCCACAGTGGTGGGCACACAGGTGCTGATGTTCCTGAGCGCGGCCGGTCTGCCAGGCTTCACAGAACAGACGCCGGCGATGCAGACAGCACGGCAGACCCTCATGGGCACCCAGCCCTCGCCCTAAGTCAGTGATGGAGAACCTTTTGAGCTCGGCGTGTCAGCATTTTGAAAACCCTAACTTAACTCTGGTGCCGTGTCACATATAGAAATTTTTTGATCTTTGCAACCATAGTAAAACAAAGATTTATACTTTTGATATTTATTTTATATATTTAAATGCCATTTAACAAAGAAAAACCAACCAAAAAAATGAGTTCGCGTGTCACCTCTGACAGGCGTGTCATAGGTTCGCCATCACTGCCCTGGGCCCAGCCGCACCTACCGGCTCCATGTCCACCAGGCTGTGCAGCTCCAGCTGCGCGTACACCTGGGCGCGGTACTGCTCCATCTGCCGCTTCTTGTGCTTGGCCAGGTCGTAGTCCTCCTTCTCCACGGCGCAGCGCTTCTCCACCTCGTAGCGCCCCAGCCGCTCCCCGACCTGCACACAACCCCCGCTGTCTCCGCGCTCCGCCCGCCAGGCCGACGGCGGCTAGTCATGCCCACTCGACGGAGGCGCTGACCACCTACGTGTCCTGTGGGGACCAGGGGTCCCCGGAGCAGCCAGAAGCACAGCCGTACGACCACGCCCTGCAAAGCGAGTGCTGCCTGTGGCTGCAGCAGCGCCTGAGAAACCCCGAGAGTTTTGGGATGGCTAACACGTCTGCGATGTGTCCCTGCCCGGTGTCTGGGGTGACGTCTGGAGAGGGACCCAGGGGCTCATGACAGGTTTGTCCAGGCGCTCGTCGGTTGCGCTTCTATTTTGCCGGGATCGTTGAGCCCACACCCACTCCTGCAGGCCAGGCACCGCCCACAGCTGGACGGGCATATTTAGTGCGAGCCCCGCGGGCAGTACCTTCTGCAAGTCCGCGATCGCCTGCTTCAGCTTCTTGGCGTAGTCGTAGCGCTCCTGCTGCACGGCTTCGCGCTTCCTCTCGTCCAACTTGCGGATAATCTGCGCGACTTCCGGGTCCTGGTACATATCGAAAGCTAAGTCGTCCAGTGGGGAGATGTGGTCAGACTTCCTGAAGGAGAGAAGCGGACACTTCAGTGCCAGGTTCCCCTGTGGGAGGCGCGCGGAGGGCCCGGCTCAGCGCGGAGGCAGCCGGGAGAGCGTCCCAGCCTAGTTCCTGGAGGCGCCGCCTGAGGACTCAGTGCGGCTTCGGGAGCACAGCCGCAGTGGGGTGGCTGTGCAGCTCACACTCCGGCCCGTGTCCAAGTACACGTGCTCGGCGTCCTAGTCCCCGCACCCCACCCCCTCGTGCTGGCCGTGCCAGGCTCTCTCTAGGCACGCGGACAGCGATGTGGGCAGAACCCAACCCCAGACCAATGCTGACCAGCCCTTCACTGAGCCGACCTGATAGGCCGGGCAGCCAGGCGTCCGCTTCACACCAGCGCCCAGCGCCCAGCACCGTGACTGGTGAACATGACGGCCGGGCTGTTGCTTCTACTGCGCTTTTCCCTCACAGGGTCCAATGCTGCCATCAGCCCTCCCGCCCGCAGATGAGAAACCCTTCGGGGGACACGCATCGCAGCCGCACAGCCCGCTCCTGACCAGGCATCCGCTCTACTCTTTCTCAGTTTCCCCGCAGGCAGGTCTACTGCTGACGTCAACATTGACGCTGACACTGACAATGCCCGTCTAGGATCGCAGCAGAACGGTAACGGAGGACACCAGCGACAGGAAACGCCACTGTCAGCTTTGACTTCACATATAGGCATGTTTTAATTAAAATGGTATTTGTCCTCAAATAAATCGGTTTGAAAATTGTATAGTAATGAGTTCAAAGAGGACACAGGAGACGTCAACTTCTGAAGGACCAAGCCCCCCATTCTAGGCCCTGGCAGCCCCGAACACGGTCAGTGTGCCTAGCGATGATCCACTGGGCCACCCTCTACTGTGTCCACAGGCCACATAACTACTTTCACCAAAAGGCAGGTTCCACGCTAAGTCTAAGTCACTCGGCCTTGAAGTCCCAGAGATGAAACAAAGACCTCATTTCATTATAAAAATCTAACAAAGAAAAAAGTGAGGTCATGTGACATCCGCCCAGGGCTCCAGGGCCGTCCTGTCCCAGAGCGCTCTCCACTTTCCCAGAAACCCCCTGGAGGTCAGCCACGGATCGCACGGCAGTGGTCAGTGACGTTCGCCCTCAGCACTCACACAGCCCGGGCTCGCCTCAGGCTGAGGGGTGTCAGAAAGGCCAGCCTGTGGGGCAGGGCGGCCTCTGCAGACAGCGAGGCTCACCGCCCACACTGGGCGAGGCCCAGGCTCCTGAGCGGCCGCAGACGCTCTATCTGTGCAAACGCAGCGGTGGCTCGAGTCCCAATGGCTGTGCCGCAGCCCTGACTCCGTGCGGCCAAGGCCAATCTCACCTGCAGCTGCACGGCGGCCAACCTCCTGCCACACCCGCGTGCCGCCTGTTCCTGCGGGGGGCGGGGGTGGTGGTGGTGGTTAGAGGAGGGGCCGGGTGGTCTCAGTTCCCTGTCTGGGACCAGCCCTTCTGCAGGGCCCGGCTGTGTAAACCGCAGGCAGGCCTGAGGGTGCGGAGGCCAGAGCAGAGACATGCGGAGCGGGGTCTGTAGCTCCCTCCACCCTGACCTACCAAGGCCCTACTTCCAAACAAGAGGCAGCAAAACAAATGCGCACGTCCAGCTGTTACCGTGAAGAAGGGGGAGAGGAGCTGGGAACACTGCACTTACAGACACAGATGTGGCATCTACTTCTCACTTCCTTAAAACACGGTCTCAACGCAGACAGACGGGAAGCCTCGGTAACTGACCGTTTCACCTGTGCATGTGTCCGAGCCAATGAAACACCCCCAGGCGGCGGCAGGCCTTTCCCGAACGCACTAGAAACCTCTAGTAAGAAACTCCTGAGCCAACGAGAAACGGTCGCCTCTGAAGGGCCTCTGAAGGACAACACCGGAGACGCCTTCACCGGGCCTTCACCCATCAGAGGTGTGGGTGGCCGCAGGGCACCCGGAGGCCTGGGCCGGCCCCCTGGAGGCGATGCTCACCTGGGGGGCCCCCCTGGAGCCCCGCTCACTGCCTGCGGGAGGGGCTCTTACCCAGAGCAGGTTCCTTCCAGGGCGGGGTCCTCCGTGCGCTGCCCCAGGTAGTGGTCAATCAGCTTCTCCCTCGAGGCCTTGGGGGTGAGAAGGCTGGTTAGCGTCTCGGAGGAGAAAGGAGCAGCACAGAACCGTAACTAAGGGCGACCGGAGGCCAGCAAAGGGCCAGCAAGCGCCAGGGCCAGGCTCCCGGAGGGGCGGCCTCAGTTCTCGCGTTAAGGAAAGCCTAAGTTATTCATCCGTCACGTCGGCACAGATTTTACGACGACGCCTTTTGTGACGACAATAAACCCTTCCCTCCTGTTGGAAATAGTTCTTCTGTAGAAACGAAACTCCCACACTCACAATGGTGCTCTCATCGCTGCCGCCCACGGGGTCCCCGATGATGTTCATGGCAACCAGGGCGACCTGGGGGAGCGACAGAAACCACGTTTGGAAGGTGGGCAGCCATCGTCTTTGTCACAGCCACCAGTGGGAGGCCGCGCACGGAAGCGCGTCCCTGGTGAAATGCTGCGCTAACGTGCAGGGGTATCAGTAAGCACTGTTGTAAGTCATATAAGCTGATATTCTAAGGCTGAACCAAATGGATATTTTAATGTTTAGAGGATATGAAAACAATAACAGCTAAAAGCCTCCCAGTTTTTTAAAAAAATAAATATGACTCTATTGATTTCAGAGAGGAAGGGAGAGGGAGAGACAGAAACATCCATGATGAGAGAGAATCATGGATCGGCTGCCTCCTGCATGCCCCCCACTGGGATCGAGCCCACAACCTGGCCATGTGCCCTTGACTGGAATCAAACCCGGGACTCTTCAGTCCGCAGGCCGACGCTCTATCCACTGAGCAACACTGGCCAGGGCAAGCCTCCCAGTTTTAACCCAGCCTCTCAGGGAACCCTCTGCTCGAGGCTCATGTGGGTCACCCCAACATGCTTGGCAAATTAGACAAAGAAATGAACGCCAAGGTTCCCACGGCTCATCGGTCTGATTCTCACCGGACGGGGAGGAGCCCCTTCCCACCCACTTCCGGAGAATCACTGTAGCTGAAGTAGGAACCCACCTGGATTGAGGCTCATGTGGGTCACCCCAACATGCTTGGTAAATTAGACAAAGAAATGAAGGCCAAGGTTCCACGGCTCATCGGTCTGATTCTCACCGGAGGGGGAGGAGCCCCTTCCCACCCATTTCTGGAGAATCACTGTAGCTGAAGTAGGAACCCACCTGGATGTCACTGGTGAAAACATGTGGGGGGAGGCGTGTGGAGGAAGGACGAGGTGAGGAGCCCTCCAGCTCCCGCTCCAGCTCCCTGCCTGCGGTGGGACCAGTGGGGCTCCCTGCTTGCATAGCAGCTGGGCCAGCGGCTCCCTCTAGGGGAGCTTAACATTCCCCATAGAGATGCCACCTCACAGAAGACTGAAAGTGCCTCTTTGCAAAGACACGGGACACAGGACCCAACCAGAGCTGGGGGTCGGCACGGGGAGGCGTGTCACCTGATTGTAGACATTGTACTTGTTGGCGTGATTTTGGTGAAAAACGAGTTTCAGAAACTGCCCCTCGGTGTCCACATAGACCGACTTCAGCTCCCGCGCTCTGCAGCCCGTCTTCTCATTGTCGCAGAGGGAGACGTAGCTGCGAGGGCACAGCGCAGGCTCAGCTGGGGAAGTGCGGTCAGTGCAGCCCCTCCCACCTACACAGGGCTGG